AAGCTTTGCACAGGCAAGGATCCACTTTCATGTGTGCGTTTAATATTTAAATTACACCCATAAGAGACGTGCCACCTAAAGATCAATGGATGCAATTACAACATTTATATTCTCACCTTGAGGTATCTGAGTCTTTTTTTTCCAGTGTTATTAAAGATGACCAGGCACACTCAAGAGTTCATATCTTTCAGATATTGCAACCTCAATATTCAAAACCAGAAGAAGCAGAAATCTTACTGCATCTTAAAACCTTGACCAAGTAGTTATGCATAACTTGTACTTACCTGAACTTGTTTGCTGTAAGTACTCTATCGTTCAATTTTTCAACCTCTCATTTTAAAAAAAAACCCAAAAACAAGTTTTCAAGTTGAATATTCCTGAAGCAGGTGGTGGTTAGAGAAACAGAACTGGCCAGGCAGGAGGGATAAATGGTGAGAGGGAGCCCAAGGTACTAATCTGTGAAGATAGTGAACTGAAAGGCAATCTGAAAACAGTATTTTTCACTTCTCCAATGCTTTTAATTTGAAAACCAAAAAGCACACTACAAAGACCATGCCCCTCAGTGGGCTGCAGTCACTTGTGGCAAATCCTTTGGGAGGCTTTTCAGCTGCTCTGTTCTGAGAGCTGGTCTGTCAGTCTTAGTCTGGTACCTCCCCAGCAGATGCCCTGTGCAAATCAGTGCACCATTACCAGAAAGCAAATTGAAAACCAAACATTGCATAGGCATGAGCATCACATCTGCCAAACCAGGGCAGTCCAGAATTATGGATGCTGTCTGTATATAAAAAAACCACAAAAACAACCACCTGCCAAAAAAATACAAACCCACCAAACTTGGAACAGAAGTGGTTTTAAGTGCCTCACAATACACAACTGAAGAAGTAGACAGAAACAGGAACTATTTTGAGGACTTTTAGGGGGGAAGAAAGGCTTCTCTTGATGTGAGATGATTCTCATTGCAGAAGGAATTTAAATCAGCCCCTGATCTTACTATAGCGCTTTTCCTTTTTCTTTTTTTTTTTCCTTCCCCTTGATGATGTTTCCTTTCTGAAGACTATGTAGCAAAACACAACAAAAGCATTTGCTTCTCTGGCCTTTTAAGATGAATTCTGTGTAAATCCAGTCCATCCAATATCTGGAGGATAGTTAGCTTGTGCACTGCTTCACTTTAACCAGTTCTTTGCTGTTGTGACTTCATGATTCACCATCACTGCGTATACATGGAAAAGAAAGAAACACACCAATGTCATGCTGTTGGGTTAGTTTTCTC